CTCTTCATAAATGCACACCGACCCAGGTGCAGCAGTCAGTGTAGAAACTGGCGTTAGAATTTTCAGTTTTGCAGGAGGGGAGGGTAAAGAAGCAAAAGAAAAATTTTAAAAAAGAAAAAGAATTTTCAGTTTTGTAGTTTTCATTTCATAGTTTACATTTTCAGCTAAAATGTAAACCAGTCATTGAACAAATTCATTTAATAAAAAAATTGAGCAACACTTATGCTTTATCACTTCCACGAGTACACGTAATACCAAAAGCTTTTTGTTGTAAAAATGACAACCAACGTGAGCAGGGTACGGAAATTCATCCTTTCACTGCTTTGTTTCCTCCTTGCCCCGTGTGAGGTCTGAGTCAGAGCCGAGGATTTGTTGGAGGGAGTCAGAGCTAGGCCCTGCCTCAAGGAGCTGGTAGTCAGTGGCAACACTGAGAAGCAGGGCTCAGTGATGGGGCAGGAGCAGGTGATGTGTGTTACAAAGAGGAGGCGAGAGCTGCCCCCGGAGAGACGAATTCGAGACTGAGATGCCGGCAGCTTTGGGAGCAGGTGCCCTCGGCTGGGCCTCGCAGGTGAGGAGGAGAGACTCCTTACATTTGAGAGGCAATGACCACCCTCCTCTCTGCCAGAATGTTCACTGATTCTACACAATTTAAAAGGATATGGTGAGAAATTTACATATAATGTTAAGTTTGGATACACTGTAAAACACAAGAATGGATTTTCAATTCACATACTATAAAAGTCACTCTTTTAAAGTATACAGGTCAGTGTTTTTTAGGATATTCACAGAGACATGCAAAGGTCACAGCTTCCTAATTTTAGAACATTTTCATCACCCCAAAGAGAAGCCCTTCGGTGGAGCAGTCACTCCCCATCCCCTCCCCACAGTAGCCCTGGCAGCCTCGGACGTGCTGTCTCTGTGGACTTGCCTGTTCTGACGTTTCATACATGTGGATCACTCACTATGTGGCCTTCTGGGTCTAGCGTGATGTCCTCGAGGTCCATCCATGTAGCTCGGATGCTGTGGAAGTCAGTGCTGCGTTCTTTGTCACAGCTACTAATACTCCACTCTGTGGACAGTGCCACGTTTTGTTTGTCCATTCGTCAGTTGGTAGATATTTGAAAGACTTATACTTTTTGGCCACAGTGAATAATGCAGCTGTGAACATTGGTGTGTAGGGTTTTTTGTGGGTCTATGTTTCAGTTCTTTAGGGTGAGTATCTAGGAGTAGAAATCATACAGTAACTCTTACGTTTTGTTTAAGTTTTTAAGGAACCACTAACTGTTTCCCAAAGTGACTCTACCATTTTACATTCCTGCTAACAAAGAGTGAGGGTCCCGGTGTCTCCACAGCACCCAGCACTTAAACTATCTTGATTTTTGTAGCCATGTATGTGGCATGTCGTGAGTCCCTCTGGCGATGTACTCAGGAGACCTACAGTGATATGACTCAGCTGATAAAAATTTATTAAAATTGTTGAAATTCTAACTTTAATATATTAATAGTTAGAGTGTCCCTAATCTGAACTTCCAAAATCCCAAATGCTCTAAAATCTAAAGTTTTTGAGCACTGACATGACACTAAAAGGAAAGGCTCTTTGGAGCATTTTGGATTTCAGATTTTTAGATTAGGGATGCTCAGCTGGTAAGTATGTAATGCAAATATTCAAAATCTGAAAAAATCCGAAGTCCAAAGCACTTCTGGTCCAAAACACCTTAGATAAGGAGTATTCGACCTATACGTGTACATGATGCCTATTTTAAAAAGCTTTTTTATCAATAAGTGAATAGGTGTGTGGAAAGCACAGAGTTTTATATAAGAAATGGGATTGCATTTGGACCCCTGGAACACATCTGGGGAGAACGTTGCTTATTGAAACTAGGGTGAAGAGGTTTCTCTAGAATGGACACAAGTGAACAGAGGCGATGTCTAGACCAGTGTGTGCTGCGGTGCTGATGTGCAGAGAGGGTGCGGCGGAGCTTGTCCCGGTGGACAGGGCTTTCCCTGTTTTCTGAGAGAATCCCATGGGATGGCACAGTGCTCATTTCAGGCCTTGGGGGGTGACGCTCCTGTGGGTCAGCCTCTCTCTCTCTCTCACTCTCGTGCTCTCTGTCTGCTAAGCCCGTCCTCACAGGCTCTGCGCTCACCCAGCAGCTCTGAGGACACTTTCCCCCAGCTGAGGTACCAGGTCTGTTCCTGCCGCGGAGCAAGGCTCTGACTCTCTTGTCGTCTCCTACTTCTCTCCCTGTCAGTCCTTGAGAAATCAACATGGGGAGAAAATCGTGTGTACACCAGCACAATTAACCAGTTTCATTAATAGCGGCTTGCACCATATGACCAGTCACACACACAGGAATCTTCTCCACTGTACTGCCTTCAGAGTAATGGTATTGTAAGAATTCGTAAGAATGGAAGGTACATCAGGTGTGTTGGTCATCCTGAAGGCTCTTTGAGGGGTGTAGACGTGTCCATACACAGAGTACACACAGCTGGCTGTGTAGGCGTCTTCTCTCTGGTGACCGTGGCTTTAGCTGATTCTGTAGAGCCTGGAGTCAGGAGCAGAGATGGGCGTCTGCAGCACCTTGAGAGGGTCTCCTCTCAGTGCCTCAGTTTCCTCACTGGTAACGGGCTAGAGCCCCGCCTCACAGGGCAGCTGCGAGAACTAAATATGTTAGCATAGATGCAGTGCTCAGAGTAGTTGCTATGTGAGTGCCAGGTATTGTGTGAAACTGCAGTTCTTACTCACTTTGAAACTGGAAGGTTCTTGCAGGGGACCCAGACCTGCCATGGAGCGTTGAGTGAGGCTGTGTGAGTGCTGGTTATTGTGCCGTGGAACCCCAGCTCTTGTTCAGCATGAAGCTGGAAGGCCGTTGTGATGAGTAAAGCCATAACGTTCCTGAGTGCCCTGTGGGGCCACTGCCCTGAACCCCTGGCTTTCTGGAGGAAGGACTTTCAGCCCAGCCGGCTATGAGCATGTCTGGTGTAGGGATTTGCAAAAGAGGACAAGGGTGACTCACTAGAGGTGAACTAGAACCGTGCAGGATGCCTGAGCTGTGGGGTCTGGACTCATCCCGGTCCTGCCTTCAGGGAGGATGGCTGGGGTGGAGGGGAGGCCAGAGCAGCACGATTCCTGCTGGATAGCAGCCCACCCCATAGCCCACCCGAGGGTTCTTCCTGGCTGGGTGCTAAGACTCAAGCTTGGGTCTGAGGCAGAGGTTCTCCTTGAGCAGTTTTGTCACCCCGCCACGTCCCCAGGACACTTGTCACCATGAGAGCTCAGGATGCCCCCACTGCGGAGGATGGGCCCCCCAAATGTTGAGGGCACTGAAGCCAAGACCCTCCCCGAAGACTGTTTTCAGCCTCTCTCAACGAATCATGCGGACATATTTTAACCTGATCCATGTAACACAGGCTGGGACGCTGCTCTTCCATCTGTGTCAACAGGTCCTTGAACTTACACACCAATAAGGCTTCTCTGTCATCAGGAGGGCTCAGCAAATTCACTTTCCCTTACTGATGCAGAAATTGGAGGTGAGCATTCTTTATCTTTTGTTTGCTGTGTTAAAGATGTTTCCAAGATTATCTGGAAGGTTTTCAGTGACTGTTTTGTAAACTTTTGATTTTTTTAACATTCCTTTTAAAAAAGATTATATCTCGGTATAAACATATTGGCCTAATTTTTTTCAGCTAGTTCACACAGATATTAAATCCATGTTCCAAACTGCAACTCTTCTCTCTCCTTGCCCAGAGACTGAAGAACTTTCACTCCACTAAATTGCATTTGTGTAAACATGGTTACGCGTGTAGTTGTGACAGTAGCCAGTATTTATTGCATTGGTCTGAGTTTGATAATCAAGCTGAGGTTGAAAATGCAGCGGTCCGGAAGGACAAGAGGTGTCTTTTAGCAGTACATTTTGTATGTGTTCATCTGCAGGTCTTCTGTGGTCACTGGCCGCTGGTGTTGGGGTGACACAGTGGTCCCCTCATCCACAATTTTGCTTTCCACAGTTTCAGCTACCTATGGTCAACCTTGGTCTGAAAATATTAAAAAGAAAGTTCCAGAAATAAGCCATTCCTAAGTTCAGTGGCATGCCTTTCTAAGGAGCCTGATGAGATCTTGCACTTCCCACTCCATCCCGCTGTCCATGGCTCCCACCCGAGAATCACTCAGGAGCTGTCTGGGTTACCAGATCCCCTGTCTCGGGGTCCTGTGCTTGTGTTCAACGAACCCTTGGTTGACTTCATAATGGCCCCAGAGCACAAGAGCAGTGATGCTGGCAATTTGTGTACCCCAGAGAGAAGCTGTAAATTGTTCCCATTGAATCAAACAGTGAAAGTTTTCAACTTAATAAGGAAAGGAAAAAAATCACATGCTGAGGTTGCTAAGATGTAGGGTAAGAAAAATATTTTTCCATGAAATCGTGACCAGTATATTGTTATATTGTTCCATTTTATTATTGTTAATTTCTTACTGTACCTGATTTATAAAGTAAAATTTATCAAAGTTATGTTTGCATAAGAAAAAACATAGTGTGCATAGGGTTCAGTACGGTCTGTGGGTTCAGGCATCCGCTGGGGGTCTTGGGACAAATTCCAGTGGGTAAGTGGGGACTGCTGTGCCCACACCAGCACACACCTTACACCACCTGTTGGCACCTCAGCCAGACCTGGCCCAAGGGCCAGATGCCATGGCTTATTTTAGTTCTGTTTTCAGAAAAGCCTTGAAACTCACCTGCTAGGCTAAGCTGCCCTGTGGACCTACAGCTGGGGTGGGGGACTCCCCAGGGACACAGCCTGGTGGGGCTGCAGGGTGTAAGAGGTCTGCCCTTCACTGCCCTGGGAAAGCTTCCCACACAGCATTTACTTTTTAAAAAACCCGTATACTTTTCATAGGTGTGAGTTTTCAACTAAACCCCCTTGGTAACAGGGATGCTGTTTACTGCTACTGTCTGTCCTCTATCAGTTACAAGGTCAGACATCTGCAGGACAAGGTGGGGACCATGGGGGAGGCGGTGAGTGTGATTTAAAAGGCCACTGTTGGAAAGAATGCAACAAACTGCTAGATCTTCATGGGAAGGGACTACATAACAGAGCCAGGAAACTGGTCTGCACTTGACTTGGAGACATTTATTGGGAGGATGTTTCTTCACCCTGTAGCTTAGTTGAACGTAGATCATGATAAGCTCTTTCAGAATGTCCCTCAGTGGTTTTCCTCACCTGAGGATAAGAGAAAGCTACCGACAGGCCTTTTGGGTGTGACACAGGCCAGAAATGGCCCTGAGTGGTTAGTCTTACTTAACTCCTGCGTCCTTGCAGTAAAATTCCATCGAGGTAAAGTAGTGACCTCCAAACCCTGTTATGCCCCAATGATAAAGTCCATGAAATAATCTGACTCAAGATCATAAAACTTAAAACATCAGAAACAAAAAATACCTGTTTAGAAACGCTCACGTGTGATGGGATCTGCAGGCTGAAGGAAGCTGATGGGTGATGGGCCAGGAGCCGCCCAGGCTGGGGCAGAGCTGTCCCCAAACCCGGCTTGCCCCTCTCCAGCCTCCTCCCTGCCCACTTGGCTGCAAGTGGCTTTGTCTTGAGGGGAAGCTGTTGTTTGCCCATTTCCCAAGCTCTTGCTCATTTCCTGCTTGTGTTTTTCCTCCTGCCTTCCAAGCCCAGCTCCCACTGGGCAGAGGCGGGGAGGGAGTGGAAGGCTGGGCTCCCGGTGGCGTGTGTGGCGTGGTGTGTTGCACAATCCCTATCCTCACCAGGGTGCTGCTTGTGAGCCAGGAGTTAGGCAGGAGGGGATGGTGACCCATCCCTTCCTGATAGCTTCTTACAGGAGAATAAAAACATGCTTCACTTTGCTCCATTTTACACCTATAAAAGTCTTTGACACATAGCAGAAAAAAGCTGTGCATACTTTTAATCGAAGATGTGTTCTGTGTGCAGAAACCATGATTATCGTTATAGGGGAGATGCTGAAAAGTAGGAGCTACAGCCAACCGCTCCCCTTGAGGGAGTCCTAAATTAAATGCAGAGACCCTTACAATGAGCATCACTTTGGGACAGGAGCTGTGTCTAAGATCTGTGCTCACCTATCTGTGCCAGCCAGTCCTGTGACCTCTGTAAGTCTCTGGGTTCCTGTGTCCTCTGCTATAAAAGAAAGGGTTTGGAGGTGCCACAGCTCTGGACCAACAGGTTCAGGTTGAACAGGGCCCCACGCTGGGGTCCTGGACACCGCAAGGTGGAGTGGGAGCTGCTGGGTCTAGTGTTTCCTTTGCCAAGAACGCTGCACCCATTCTAGGCTCCCAGGTAGTCTATCCAGATTGTAAAACATTCTAGTGTTTATCAGAAGACACGACAGAAAACTCTTGGCCTTGAGAGTGATTCTAATCTTGAGGCTGTATTTGCTGTTTTAGTTAAAACATTTCCTAATAACTCTTCGGTAGCATAAACAAATGTGAGTCCACACACATGTGCAGGCCATTTGCACTAAGCGCAGCATTCAACTGTACCCCCTCTCCTAGGGCTTCCTCGAGAAGAAAGCTTTGCAGGCGTGACCCTTTCTAGAGGGAGCAGCTCCTTGTGCCTAGAGGCCAGTCACAATGGGAGGCCACTGGAGGCATCCCATGTGGCCTTCGTGGGGTGCCTGGGTCAGGCCCACTCTCAGCCCGGGCTGTGAAGTGGGGAAGGTACCTGGGCAGGCTGTGGGCTCCACGTTCACTAGAGTCTGGGGAGGAGGAAGCAGGAACAGAAATGCCTTTGGGTCGGGCACCTGCCCAGGGAGGCTTGGGGATTTGGGGTGTTTGGGTTGTTCAGTGGTTGGGGTACTGCTGGCATTTGATGGCAGAGCAGAGAGGTGTGGCGTCCTACAGTGTGTGGGGCAGGCTCGGGGGCCCGTCATCCTAAGTTGTGGCTGACTTAGCCTTTCCACATACAGATGCAAAGTTGTATCCAACTCGTTTTAATACAGCTGGTTTTAGTACATGCAGGAACGCGGCTGTACAGATCACACTTTCGATATTCTGTGTTCTGATGCTTTGACGTGGAGTCCCCGCTGAGCTCGGAGGATGGCCTTTCCTGTGCTCCTGCCGTCCACAGCCCACACCCTCCTCCTCCTTCATGGGGTTCTCACACTCGGGCCACTGTCTCCCGGCCCGGATCTCCCTAGGGCCAGGTCCCCAATAGCCAGGGACAGCCAGTGACAGCCCAGTGCCCCTGAACCCCCTGAAATCTCCGCCTGCACCTTCTCTTGCACCCACTGCCTCCTGGCTCCCTGCTGCTCCCCCAGTGACCTGAGTGGCAGCTGTGCCTCCTGCTTCTAAGGAGCTGTGAGTATGAATCTTCCTTCATGATAATTTCTGTGTCTGCGTGTCTTACCTACCTGATACGACAAATCCAGATACATTTTAAACAATAGCTGTTAAATGGATTGTGGGGAGATGGCACACACTTTCCTGGTGCTACCTACCGTCTTGGGAGGTCACAGCCTGCACAGCACGACGTGGCCTCTGCCCAGTGAGAGCAGGAGCGTCTGTGTTGGGTGCAGCAGCCCAGACCTGGGTGTCCCTGTGCGGCTGAGCCCTGTGCTCACACAACTCTGCTCCTGGGACACTTTGCCTCCTGCCATCTTTGGGGGAGCTGTGTGCTCCTTGCAGGGCAAAATGCAGGTGTGTTGATTGCATCGTAGCTTCCTTATGTCTGTCTTCACACACAGCACATGCAGGGGGGAAATAGTTAGGAAACAGTTGCTTCCTGATAAGGGAGTGCTGGGTCTGGTGGAGTCAGGGTGGGGCACAGGGAAGTCTGCCTGGGGGGCCTGGCCGAGCTGGGGCTCCCACCCAGACGGGCCCCAGGTGGGCTTCCTGCAGCTGCTGGCTGTCACGGGCCCTGCTGCCCTGTGACCAGCTTCACTCTGTCCCCACGAGCAGAGTCTGTGGGACTGAGCCACTGACAGTCCAGACAGCTTTCCCCGACCTGAGGACAGCAGTGGGCTGTGGTGGGGGCCTGATAGCTACTGCTGATCTTCCGGGTTGAGTAACCAGGCTTTGAAGCTACCATGTGAAGGAAACGCTCCCGGAATCTCTTTTAACATAAACATAAGACTCTTCTTTGGGGCCCAGAGAGGAAGCCCCAAAGCTGGGTGTGAAGTTGTGGCTTTTGCGGTTCAGAAGACTGGTTAGGTGTCCAGGGCTGTGTGGGAAGTGCCTCCCTCCAGCCTTGTCAGGAGGCCTGCGACATGCTACCCCTCCTACGCAAACAGAATGCCTGCAAGTGGCAAAGGTGACAGTGGCTGGCCCCCTCCTAGCTCTGGAAGGTCTCTGCCTGGATGCAGACCTGACAGGGAGCCTGCCACTGCCCCGGGGAGAGGGAGCCACCAGGGCCTGGGCCGTTGTGTGGCCCGAACATGGGGCTCTGACAGCCAGCCGGGCCACCACAGGATGTTGTCTGGGGACATCTGCTCCCCTGTTGCCAGCCAGGCACTGCCATGGGGGCTCCTGGGCCTCCCCTTCCCCCTACTTTGGTCCTCTCCTTGTTTACTGGGTGTTCTACGCATACTTGCAACAGTTAAGATTAAGAAATGGCCTGAAGAACAAGGAAGAAAACACTGAAAGTTCTTAAGTGAAATTCAAACACAGGAAGAAGCATTGATTATATTTTTAAGGTGAGAACAGGGTCGATCTTTTGAGTGAGTCATGGGCTTTGAGAGAGAGCTGAGAACCATTCGTTTGAAGAGTAGATTCACTTTGAAAAATCTTGGGTGCAAAACACTCGAGTTGGTGTCAAGAAATGCCTTTGAGAACGGAAGCCGACTGGTGAGGAGGAGCCTGTGGTAGCTGGTAGCAGTAGAGCTGATGGATTTCTCATTCCTGCTTCCTGGTGCTGAGTTTAATTAACCAATAACACAATTTATTTCATTTAACAGACCAACGTACTGCTGCCTGCGTAGCTCACAGGATCGAGGGGGTGTGACCACAAAGGCCTTTGCCATCCTGGAGCGATGGTTTTTGGTGTTGAGCCCTGAGCTTACAGTGGTTTTGGTTCACGGATGTGGGTTTTAGCAATGTGGTCCGAGCCCCGTTTCTGGGGAGGAGTGGTGGGACAGTAGGAAAGGTAGGGCAGGCGCACAGGTGGGTTGCTCTGTGATCCTTAGAGGGAAGCTGTCCCCGGGGCATCCTGGGACCTTCTTCCTGCAGACGCTCCTTCCTACAGAACAACGGGTGTCCTGGCAGAATATCCTCGTGTGTGGGGTCACAGACTGCCTGGCGTGGCATCCAGAGGCCAGGGTGCAAGTGGGGAGGCCACCATGTTTGCGTCAGCTCCCTGCCACGGATGCGGGGCGTGGGCTTGAGGGAGCCCAGTGCTGAGAGCAGGTGACAGTTCTGTGGACAGACGCTGTGGGAGCCCCTGTGGGGTTGAGGGAGGATAGTGGGGTGCTCATGCAGTCGCCATGGAAGCAGGGCCCAGTCACCCTCACATGGAGGCAGCGCCCAGCCTTCAGACTCGCCCTCAGCACAGGGGAGCATTGGTGGCTGGATGCCCGGGTGGGGAATGTGTAGCCAAAGTGGGCTGGTCCCCTCAAGGGAGGCAAGTCCATAGTCCCAGAAGGAGAGAGTGGACAAAGAGCCACCCCTGCCACCACTGAGGGGACCTGGGGGCACCCACACTATCCACTGCAGGGCGTCCCAGCAGCCAGGGCCACGTCCCTGCTCAGCAGAGCCACAGTAAAAAGCAAAAAGAAACATGCAAAATTAGTTTCAATACTATACTTTAACACAATATATTGAAAATATTATTTCAGGATGTTATCAGCATAAAAATTATTAATGGATAATTTATGTTCTTATTTTCATCTGAGTCTTCAAAACCAGTGTGTGTTTCACACTCTGGCGCATCTTAGCTTGGCTACTCGCCGTGGGCAGCTCCTGTGGCCTCTTCATGGACACAGAGGACAGACAGACAAACGAGCGAGCAGAGATGGTGCTGTGAACCCTGCAAAGGGGACATAGTGCAG